CACACACACCCTCCATAAAAGTTCATAGAAATGGTTTGGCTTGCAAAGACGGACTTCTGATCCTTCCACGCTAACTCTGTCTGAAGGCTGGCAGGCCCTACCCATGAGTCGGCTGGGAGAAGCTGCCTTGGGTCGCTCCCTGTCTCCTGCACAGCCCCCACTGTACAGGAGCTGCCTCCCTACACATCACGTGAGCCATTCGAGCTCCCACTCGTCTCTCACCAAGGCCCTCCTACTAGGTTTTGGTTTCCACCTAGTGGATGACTTCTTGCCCCCAGCTCTGTGAGTTCTGGCTGTAGCTGATGACCGCACCCGTAGAAAGGGCAGTGCCCACCTGAAGTGTGTGACCTGCCCCTTGGCGTGGGGTGACACTCTTACTAATAAAAACAAGGGCTACCGCATAGTCCCTATATTGGCAGGTCTACTTCTATCACTGACAAATACTAGTTTCTTAACAGCAGGGTCTGAGTTTTCTTTTACGGGGGGAAACAAGAGACATCATCAAATATGACCAAACTCTGAAACCAGAATTTAAAGCATGGAAGTAAAAGCATAGTCGGAAGCTCTGTAGAGTGATAAGTAGCTCGAAATAAGCAAGTCTACGTACGAAAAGGGCGAAATAGGAAAGCATTAAAAACAAAACACAAACCTCTTCTTTTCTCCATAAACAAAGTGACTGTCCTCTACAGGTTCAGTCCTATTGATGAGACAGCTGATGAGACCGAGGAGGGTGTGACAGGTGGGGGGGGGGCCTCCCCTGGAAACATTCTCTCTGTTGAAAAGCTTCAGTCTGTACAATTTAACGGTCAACAACTGACAGAAATTAATATTAAGTTCGACTATATCAAACTGAGACTTTTTTTTTGAGAGAGAGAGAGGGCGCATGAGCAGGGGAGAGGGGCAGACAGGGAGACAGAATCTCAAGCAGGCTCCAGGCTCAGCACGGAGCCCAATCCAGGGCTGGATCCCATGACCCTGGGATCGCGACCTGAGCCAGAATCAAAAATCAGACACTCAACCAACTGAGCCACCCCGGTGCCCCGAGACCTTTTAAAAACAGGTACAATAGTTATAAAATCTGAAAGAACAAATCTACTAACTGTAAACCCTAACAAGAGCAATGGAAGAATTAGCTGGGCTTCCTGAAAGGATCAGAGCAAAAGGAAATCAACAGCAAGAATGTGCTGCGATGCAGCTTGATGACCATCAGACCCCAAAGACCCACCACAGCAACTACAGCATGAACTACAATGAACTACAGCAACAATGAACTACAGCAACATGACCTGATCACATGGAACAGCCAGGCCCCTTTCTCCAGCCTGTTCCCCTGGATGGAGGGAACTAACAGTGACCTCCAGAGAAAGTCTGAAAGAGCCAGGCAAACTAGTAACTTCCAGCAAGGGGGATTGGGGACGGGAGTGGAGACTTCTAGAAAATTCTTGTACTGTTCAAATTCTTAAATAATCTCACCTCATATTTGGTGTTGTTATTATTATTATTATATTAACAATATGATTAGCACAAATCTTGAAAAGAGAGGGAATCCAAGTGCCCGTAAACACCTACAAAGCAGGGAATGGAAGGAGTATAAGGCACATGGAATGCACAGAATAGAACGAATTTCAGTTTCTCCGTTTTCCAGGTAGATGGTCGGGATTCCCAGGCCTGCTTTCTCATCTGAAAATGCTACTACTACCTGCCGTAGAGGTTTGCTTTAAGGATGAGAGAGAACATATATAAAAGACTCAACATAGGACCAATGCTCAGTAGATGCTCAGTGGACAGCAGAAACCACTGTTATTATTTCCACACAGGAGAATAAAAGAAAAACACAGAAGCTTCCTGTAATACCTAGTATAAGCAGATCATCAGAATATTTGAAGATAAAATATAAGAAGCATTAAAAATGGATGGGAGGGGTGTCTGGGTGGCTCAATCAGTTAAGCGGCTGACTCTTGATTTCGGCTCAGTCATCATCTCACAGTTTGTGAGTTCGAGCCCCACATCAGGCTCTGCGCTTGGGATTTTTCTCTCCTCCTCTTTCTCTGCCCTTCCCCACCCATGCTCTATCTCTCTCTCCCTCAAAAATAAATAAATAAACATATATTTTAAAAGCCTTTAAAAAATGGATGGGAGATTTTTTTAAAGGCTAATAGAACTTCTCTTGGCTGCAAAAATTATAATGGGGTTTTCTTTTTCACAAATTGTGTTCACTCCAAGGAGAAGTTCTTTTTGTAGAAAAATGATTGAAAGCTAGTACCAAATAATATTTGATTTTCAACTCTTAAAGTACTTATCACAGGAGAATAAAGTATGGGAGGGAAAAAAACTCACCAAAGCAAAACGAATAGCACCTCCACTGTGTTTCAACACTGTTTTATATCCCAAATACCAGCCCAATGCCCTTTAACACAGGTCATTTTTAAACATACAAATCATTTATGTTTGGCCCCACTTATATTCTCAAGGCTCCTTAAAATACTTTTATTTATTTTAATTTTATTATTTTTTAATTAAAAAAAATTTAATGTTTATTTTTGAAAGAGAGAGAGAGCACGCATGAGCAGGGAAGGGGCGGAAAGAGAGAGACACACAGAATCCGAAGCAGGCTCCAAGGCTCTGAGCTGTCAGTACAAACAGTTGATGCGGGGCCCAAACCCATGAACTACAAGATCATGACCTGAGCCAAAGTCGGACACTTAACTGACTGAGCCACCGAGGCGCACCTATTTTTATTTTTTTTAATATTTATTTATTTTGAGAGAGACAGAGTGTGAGTGGGGGAGGGGCAGCAAGAGGGAGAGGCAGAGAGAGAGAGAGAGAGAGAGACAGAGAATCCCAAGCAGGCTCCACACTGTCAGCACAGAGCCTGATGTGGGGCTCATTCCCACAAACCGTGAGATCATGACCTGAGTCAAAATCGAGTTGGGTGCTTAACTGATTGGATCACCCAGGTGCCCCTATTTCTAGACTTTTGTACCCATTTTAATTTCTCAGACGACTAAAGAGGATGTCCCCATTCTCTATAAAGCCTTCCTGACTCTTGCCTGCTACCCTCAAGCAAAATTAATTGCCCTTCCTCTGATGATACTTATTGTTCATCCAACTAAGCATAACCAAGACGGGACTGTCCCTTATTTCCCCCAGTTAGCTAAGATCTCCCCATTCCTAGGGCATCTGGGTGGCTCAGTCGGTTAGGCATCTGACTGTTGGTTTCGGCTCAGGTCATGATCTCACAGTATGGGAGTTCGAGCCCCGCATTAGGCTCTGTGCTGACAGTGCAGAGCCTGTGTGGGATTCTCTCTCTCCCTCCCTCTCTGCCCCTCGCCTGCTCGCTGTCTCTCTTTCTCTCAAAATAAACAAACTTAAAAAAAAAAAGAATTAAAAAATATTACATATAAAAAAAGATTTCCCCATTCCTAACCGACATAAATTCAAAAGAAAATGAGCATGTGCTTATGTCGTATGCTGTCAGCCCCGATGGTGGGAGACACCTGTTGTCAACATCAGTTAGCACTGCTTTCACGACAACGTTCCGCAGGGGCTCTGAGGGCAAGGCACGTCACTACTGTGCATTCCTTTCAAGGAAAACCCAACTTCTCATACGTGGTGTGTATTTCTTAAAAATGAATTTCCCCTTCATTCTCACTGCTTTAAAACAGTTCTAGGGGCACCTGGGTGGCTCGGTCAGTTGAGCGTACGACTTCAGCTCGGGTCATGATTTTCCAGTTCATGAGTTCGAGCCCCACATCGAACTCACTGCTGTCAGCCTGTCAGCCCAGAGCCGGCCTCGGGTCCTCTGTCCCCCACTTACGTTCGCCCCAAAATAAATAAATATTTAAAAAGTAAAAATAAACAGTTCTAGAGGTAGTGATGCTCTTTGAAGGCATACTTTGTACAAGTGCCTGGGGCCTAAGGCAGGATTACAACACCTCTATTATCACACAAGAAACCAGTTTTTACATCACTTCTGAATGTTCAGGGAGCCACTTAAAAATTCTGAACAATGAGAACAACAAGCACACGGGTCAGGAATGTTCAGAAAATAATCCGTATCTTGACTGCGCATGAAACGGCAGGATAAACCAAGGGCTAGGACGTCAGTTGAGTCACAGATATTCTTAGTTCTTACTCCACGGAAGTCACGATACAGATTGCTGCTGGGATTCCTGAGTTCTGTCCAGCCGCCCGTTCTGTAAGGTTGCTGTTATCACATATGCTAGTCAGTAAGTAAGAGCTTTAGAAGAAGAAAAGTCGCCTTCCCATTTCGATGCCGCATGAGAACCCTGGGTGGAGGAACGGGAAGCAAAGAGAACAAGAAGCAGAGGCAAGAGACAGCACTGTCCCAAGAAGGTAACAAACGCTACTGCGTTCCTCATGCGCCGGTGCCCAACCTAGCGACACCGCGGCCAAAGGCCACCAGCCCTTGCCGGCCCCTGGGCGCGATGCCGCGGGCCTGGCATAGACAGGCGCCTCCATGCCTTCGCTCACACCGTCCCTCCCTCTGTCATGTCTGGACGCCCTTCCTTCTCCCCGTCCGCCTGGTTTTCCAACTTCAGACTCTGTAAAGGCTTTCCTGGTCCCTCCCTCCGACGCCCAGCAAAATGAAATCACTCTTCTTCAGCGGCCTCAGGGCACTTTTCCCGAACCTCTTTCACAGAGCCTGTGTTACTTTCTAGCTTCTTATTCAAGTGTCTGTCTCTCCCCCAAACCTGCCAGCCCCTCAAAAGCAGAGACCTTCCCTGGTGTTCAGCTGGCACGTGGGAGGGATTCAGCATGTCTGGTGGAGGGTGAAAGATGGACGGGCGGGAGCGTGGGGAGGGGGTGAGTAGCGTCCCAAAGCCAGGAGAGAGCTCTGAGGTACAAAAAATATAATCTCTCTCCGCCAATGTACAGGGAGAGGGTAGAAATGGGAAGATGGCCACAAGCCACAGCTGCCCTTGTGGGGTTCCCATGTCAGATGGTGGTGGCAGACAAGGGTCTACGTGAGTCTTTACCCAGGGAAGCCAACAGCTCATAATTCATCCGCATCACGTCTCTGTACAGCTCCTTCTGCCGCTTGACTAGCATGCCCCACTCCTCCCGGGTGAAATACACCGCCACATCCTCAAACACCACCGGGAGCTCCTCAAACACCACAGGAACCTCCTCAAACAGCCCCTCTTCAGAAGGATCCTGCAACAAAGAGCAGCAGTCACTCAACACGCCTCTTATGCCAGACACCCAGCGGGATGCTTTCAAGGTCCTTCGTAAGGACCTTCTCAAGGCCCGTCTCCCTTGGGAGGCTTGCCAAGAGGCCCAGATGTACTCTGAGGCAGCAATGTACCCAGCCAAAGTCAAAGAAGCAAATTTGCGAGGCCCAGAGTTAGTAGTTGAAAAAACCAACCAAACAAACAAACAAAAAACCAAATGAGCCTCAGTCTGATCCTGGGGTCTCCTAGGAGGAGATAAAAGTGCTGAAGAACAGGGGTCCTGGAAGAGCTTACGACTGCACCCCTCCCTGTAAGGTTCTAAGGGGCTGCCTTCTATTCATCCGTGACTACAATGATGACCGTCTGCCTCCAGGAGCACCTGCTAAGATTTCCCACTGGGATGGGAAGGAAGAAGAAGTCGTACAGAAGAACGAAAGATGCTTATATTCAGTGACGAGGTTTACACGTGCCTTCCTGCTAAAGGAATTCAGATTATAAATGGTTAGACATATTTATTAGCTCCTAATACCAAACACTAGACGGAATATGAACATGAAGAGACATGAGCTCTGTTGCTTTTCCAGATTCTGGAAAAACCCACGCTTACTAACTTTAGCTGGGCCCTTCTCATGTTAGGGATGAGGAACATCTGAGCTATTCTCGTTGGAAGTAGAGGGGTACTCCAAATGACTTCTAGTAAAATCCTGCTCGTGTGAAATAGCTGAGAAATGGCAAAGGACCCCGTAACTCAAAAACTCCAGTGAACGCAGTTTCCTTGCGGCCAACTTTGCAAAGAGCTAGAGACCGACTGAGTGCCCGCAAGGTGAGAGCCAGAGAAGTTCGGGACCTGCCGGTGCGCAGGGGGTGGGAGGGAGTGCCAGCTGACAGCCACGCTCTGGCACAGGTGGACTGTGCCCCTGACGCTGTTTCCTCCCAACAAGACGAGTTTAATCTGACCCACTCCACCGGCCTTAGGGCAGCATCAAAACCCTTACATAAGAGAACGGGCGTGGAGAGATTTTACAGTTTCAAAGGGCTACCTGATTCCAAAGTCAAAGCTGAAAAACTTTTAGAAGTTAAGTATTTAAGAGTTCTGTGGTTGTTTTGTGGTCGTGTATTATCTTCTTGAGTTCTGCGACTGTTTTGGATTCTGGATAAAGATCAGTGTTCTGAATTTAGATGTTCCCTTTATATCAGGAGTTAGAATGTTCTGTCCCACTAATTATGTTTTGTTGTCTGCAAAAGGAAATGAGAACAACAGGGGTGCTGTCTTAAATACATGAGATAATACACGTAGAGCACATAAAATAATGCCTGCTACGTTATCGGCACGTTAGGTTATGATAACAGTATAATGTTAGCAGCAGGCGTAGCTACTATAATCTCCCCATCATCGTCATGCAAAATATGTTGTTCTTAGTACAGAATCCTTCCCCTGGAGACACAGCAATCATTACAAACACATTACCTGGCCGCAGGGTTCGGCAGCGTCATTACACAAAATGTTAACATTTGAGGCGCTGTAGATACCATCAGCAATTTCTTTTTGCCTCAATTCAGAAATGCAGTCGAGATACAATGCAGGAATTGTTCCATCCTCTCTCGGGTCCTCCAGTTCAGCTCTGGAGCCGGGCAGGAGCTGGGCCATGTTCTCATAGGCTCCCAGAGGCCCTGGGGGGTACAATATGGGATAATCTGCCGTGAAGAGGTGCTCCGGGCTGGCCAGAACATCTCCGGATTCATCTCGGATGCTCTGGAGACGGGCTGCCCAGATGGGGTCCCGTGCTGCCAACGCATTGACGCAGAACAGGTGAGCTTTGCTCTTGGCGTGGTATTTGAGCGTCTCTACCTTGAATGGTCCTGTGTAACCTTCGATTAATCTTGACCGTTTGTCCCTGACAGACGGGTATTCTCGGCAGGCAGAGCAGAAGAGAGCCGTCTGCTCCTCGTTCATGACCAACCACGGGAACTGCACAAACCAAGACTTCTGGATAGACCGGGGTTTCAAGGGTTTTTTGCTCTTTCCTGTACAGTCTCCCTCAGTGTTGCCATGCTCCGTGCTGAAGTGGGAAAGACAGGCTTTCTTCTGAGGCGGCAGGTACGGTCCAGCTTCTGCGGCCAGACTCTGCCCGTCCCCTTCTTCCACGCAGCCCATCTGGTTTTTCCCTTTAGAGAAAAGAGACCAGTGGAATTCGGTCTGAGGTCCTGTAGTTAGAGCCACTGCCACCCATGAAGCCTCTCGGGGTATCAAACACGAAAGCTGGAAGTCACACCCAAGAGTGACACAGGCTCCACTCGGAATTTTCTTCCAGACCCCCAGCGCCCCAGGGCCCACCTCAGCTGACCCAGAAGAAAATCAGAGGAGCTTTAAGCAACTCCTCCTTTTTTTTAAATTTAAATTTTGGCTTGGCCAAAAAGACCTCTGCAATTTCATCTTTGCAACCCAAGATACGGGCACAATCTTCAGAAGTTCAAGCTTATTTATGGATAAGAACGCAAACTGATAAAATGTCAGTTAATGAAGATATTAAAGCCAAATCCTGCAACTCCGTCCTCAGCAGGAACCCCCTTCCATGGTACCCTGGCACACACACATCTGCACTCCGCTCGCGCATCTTTGGAACCAGGGAACGACCAACCTCCTGGGTAGTTTTTGTCCCCAGAGTTTGCCTTAAACCACGATCCATTTGTAAGTACTTTCCACCCAGGGGTGCTATGTCAGCCCTCCAGAGAAACACAAGCCCTCTCCCACACCACAGCCCTTCCAAGAGGCGAAAACTCTCATCAACTCACACAGATCTTCTTCTTCAAGCTAAACTAGAAGTTTCTTTATTCACGCCTTAGTTGAAACGCAACTTACAGCGTTCGCAGCTCTAACTCCCCTCGAGCCATTTCTTGTGCATAATAAGTACAGATGCCCAGTGGCCAAGGACTCCATGGTACTTGCTCCAGGCCAACAGTCCAGTCTACACATCCGGAGCTCACCCAGGAGCACAAAGCGGCTAATGAAGAGTAAGCAGGCTCAAAAGAAAGAGCCAAGCATTGGAAAACAAAATAAAACAAATTGGTATCTATGAAGTCTCAGGCTCCCTGTGGTCCATCTGAGACAGATCGTGAGGGAAAGTAGACTCCTGTGACAGCTTGTTCCACCTCCCTTTTCTCCGGCATTGGGGGCTGGGTAACTCAACCACCTCATACAATGACACGATGTCACCTGGCCTGACTCTAGCCAAGCCAGTCCCTCAACAGGACGGGCTTATCGAAGGAGAAGAGCCAAAATAAATCCTAGAACTTAGCAGACATCTGTCCATTCACTCAGTGATTACTTAATGTGCAACTGCTATGTGCCAGGCATTGTTCTTAGCACTGGGAATACAGGAGTCAGTAAGACAAAGTCATGCCATGGTGGAACTTAGAATATATAACTGCAAATCAACATATACTCTCAGGCAGAAATAAAGAGAGGGCCACCTGGGTGGCTCAGTCGGTTAAGCATCCGACTTGGGCTCAGATCATGACCTCACGGGTCGTGGGTTCGAGCCCCGCATCAGGCTGCGTGCTGACAGCTCAGAGCTCAGAGCCTGGAGCCTGCTTCAGATTCTGTGTCTCCCTCTTCTCTCTCTGCGCACTCCCCTCCTGCTCGTGCCCTGTGTCTCCCTCTCTCAAAAATAAACATTAAAAACATAAAAAACATTATAAACAATAAAAAAACATTAAAAACAATAAAACATTAAAAAACATAAAAAATAAACATTAAAACATTTAAAAACAATAAACATTAAAAAAAAAAAAAAAAAAAAAAAAAAAAAAAACACCACAGCTGGTGGCTGTTCGGTCCTTGGCTAAGGCATCCTGACTTTGATTAGTCATGATCTTGCAGTCCATGAGTTGGAGCCTGTGCAGACGGCTCAGAGCCTGGAGCCTGCTTCGGATTCTACATCTCCCTCTCTCTCTGCCCCTCCCCATTCATGTTCAGTCTCTCTCTCTCAAAAATGAATAAATGTTTAAAAAAATTTTTTTTAAACATTAAGAATATTTAGAAGTGCCTGGGTGGCTCAGTCGGTTGCCCGACTTCACCTGGTCGATCTCCGGATCGTCGAGTTGAGCCCAGCGTCAGGCTCTGGGTAGCAAGAGCCTGGAGCCTCTCTAGATTCTGTGTCTCCCTCTTTTCCCACTGCCCTTCACCACATTCATGCTCTGTCTCTCTCACATGCTAAAAAAATAAATAAGCGTTAAAAAAAAATTAAAAAAAAAAAAAAAAATGGTTTAAAAAAATAAAGAGAATGTTGGAGAATGATGTGTACTATGTCTAGATACGCGTTGAAACAGCGATTCTCATGTGAGCTGGAGGACAGCAGGAGAGGGCCAGGGGATAGACGGAGTCCTGGTGCCCAGCTTTCTGCCACCTCTCTCACCTAAGTACCCCTCCTCCCCATCGTGGTCCACTCACCTGGATGAGTGGCTCAGGACATTCCTCTGGCCCTGGGCACTGCCCACCCCATGGTGCCCTGCTCAAACTTGTAGAGCAGTTCTGGGTTGAATAGTTGGTCTGGGTCAGGGAACAGAAAAGCACCCCATGAATCTTAGATCCCGGTCTGGTGTAAGGGAAGGAGGTCTGTCTGGGACCTCCCCCCTCCCACACTGTGGGAGAATAATTGGTCTAGTAGGAGTAATTTGAGTAGAACTTCAGCATGGTGTTTTAGGACTCAGATATCCATGAGGCCCTAAAGAATGGGGGACTTAAAGTGAATGCAGTAGGCACAGTTTCCCATCTAGGCTAAAAGGGTTTGAAAACTACTCTGGTTCCAAGAACAGATTCACTAAACCCCAAATGCTGAGAGAGCCGGCCAACAATGAACCACACTGAAGAGAAGCAGGCAGGTGGGGAGGAGCTGTAGCGCCCCCGTGTGGGGGGTACAGCTGCAGCTCCCTGGCGGAGGCAGGGTCAGGCCGGCCCTGCCAGGCTGTGCCTTTTCAGAGAAACCAGAAATCATATATTCCATGTAAAAACTCCCCATGGTGAAATATTAGCAAATTAAATATGGAGCAAGGAACCACCTGGCACTCAGATGGAAACTGTCTGGTACAGTCTCCAGGGTCATGAGTTTTGGAGCCCCGTTGGGTCTAGAATTACTACGTAACCCTGAAAATTAGGAGAGCCTGGGAGGGGGCTCAAGATGCCGTTAAGCATCCGACTTGAGCCCAGAGTCGTAGATCTCTGAGTCGGGGATTGGAGTTGCCGCTCAGCAGCTCGCCTGTGCTGACAGTTCAGAGCCTGGAGCCTGCTTTTGATTCTGTTCTCCCTCTTTCTCTGACCCCTCCCCGTTCATGCTCTGTCTCTCTCTGTCTCAAAAATAAATAAATGTTAAAAAAAAAAAAACTTAAAAAAATAAAAAATATTGTAGAGAAACCAAGCAAAAGTGATGAAAGCAGAATAAAGGCCAGCTATTGTACTCTGCAACTTTTAAGAACCGGCAGTTTTCCAACTGGGTTTGGCAGGCCTGGGAGAACCTGCTGTAGCCCCTCAAAGCCAAAGCTATCTACCTGTGTCATAACCTTAGACCGGGGCCCGAGATGACAAGAAGAGAAAGGCGTGTCACATGGTTGTCCAAGTGAATTGAGAAAATAGCACATACGTTGTACACACGTGTTGAATTACAATCACGTCTGTCCATGGCACAGAAAGTCTACCCACGAAAGCAGAGAAAGGACATTCAGAAAATAGAAAAGGTGAAATACACCTACATGGGCACAAAGTTTTAAGTGCCTTTAGCTCCTTAAGCCTCTACGACGGCCCTACGAAGGAAACCAAGACTTAAAATGTGAAAGTTGGGTCGAAGGCACGCCAGAGTCACATGGTGGGGGCTGGGCCTGGGCCCAGATCTCCACAGGCCAGATGATGCTCCTGCTTCCAACACTTACTACCTCCAGTGTCCTGTGGGCACCTGAAACAAAATCCACCCTGCAGCTCCACCCACCACAGGCCAGGCTTCCTGCTGGCACTGTGTGATACAGTAAGGCATCAAGGTCCAGCCCTGACATGCTCCAGTTCCCCACTTCTCTTGGCCAACGTACGAGGAGAGAAAGGGTGGTGCGTGAATCTTGTGCAGTTAAGTTACATTAGGGGCTGCGCAGGTGAATGGTGGAAACAGGCCTGAAAAAAATGGTAGGATTCCAGAAAATTCTCCAGTACGGCAGAGTCGGATATGATTTGGAATGCTGACCTAGACCGAGGCGGTGGGGAAGCGAACAGGGGCCCATACCTAGTGGTGCCACCAGCTTGTCGGAACCACAGATCTCCTTCTGTTGCTGACTCAGCAGCATCCATTCCCCCTGAAGCAAGTATACAGTGATGTCATCAAAGGTCACAGGAGCCTGGAGGGAAAAATGACACCTGCTAAGCACCAATTTCCTCCTCTGATGAATCTTCCACACCTGTGTTCACACCCCCTGAGGGCACCTGTGCTCTGGGAACCTATCAAACTAGAGGAGGGGCATCGTCAATCTACATATAAGACCTAAAGACCCCGCCTCTCTCACCTCCTGGGTCCACAGGAAGGGCCACACACCGAAACAACTGTCATGGAGAAGGCTGACTCAGGAACTCCGCCATCCTTTCCTGGCACCCTCCTCGCCTGCCACGGTACCCGGTATTCTCAGCCAGTGCCTCAGCAACAACCTAGGGCACATTCTTGTGCAAAATCTTGAACATGGTAAGGAAGACGTATCTAATTTCTGGAAACAGTCGAAAGTCCTTCAGAACTATGTCTGCCGGTGAAGTCAGCAATCAAGACAGGCAAAGGTTTACAGTGGAGAACTATATATCCCATGGAGCTTGTAAAATAGCTCTGTTCTATGGGGCGCCTGGGTGGCTCAGTCGGTTGGGTGTCCGACTTCGGCTCAGGTCATGATCTCACGGTCCGTGAGTTCGAGCCCCGCGTCTGGCTCTGTGCTGACAGCTCAGAGCCTGGAGCCTGTTTCAGATTCTGTGTCTCTCTCTCTCTCTGACCCTCCCCCGTTCATGCTCTGTCTCTCTCTGTCTCAAAAATAAATAAACGTTAAAACAAAGATTTTTTTTTAAATAGCTCTGTTCTGCCAAAAAGGGGTCCGGGGATCAGAAAATATTTTGGGGGAGCTCTGGTGTAAGACGGTGGATTGAACAAGTACACTGAATTCTGCATCCTCCCTGTGAATTTAAGACACCCTCCCTGGGGCGCCTGCATGGCTCAGTCACTTGAGCTTCTGACTGCGGCTCAGGTCATGATCTCGCGGTTTGCGGTTCGTGAGCTCGAGCCCCGCAGAGGGCTCTGTGCCGATGGCTCGGGGGCCTGGAGCCTGCTTCGGATTCTGTGTCTCCTTTTCTCTCTGCCCCTCCCCCGCTGTGCTCTGTCTCTGTGTCTCTCAAAAATAAATAAATAAATGTAAAAAAAAAAAAGTTTTTTTTAAAGACACCCTCCCTGCCAAAACACTCCAAAAGAAAACACCCACGAGGATAGGAAACAGAACAAGGAGGGAGGTGGAGGAGACAGAAGCAATAGGATTTTGGAAACTGAAAAGTAGATGAAAAAGTAGTAACTGAGCAGACCCAAAGAAATCAAATCCTCGCCCAGCAGTGGGCAAACTGAGAAACGACCCAATTTATACCACAAAATCCAAAATAAGGCTCAGAAACTGCAGTGCTGAGAACCTCCAGCCTGGGAGTGAAGGCAGCAAGGCTAAGACAACAAGAATGGGGGGAAAGCTGTTCGCCAAGAAATGCCTGCCCAGAGTCCCCTGCAAGGCTCAGTGCTGACAAGCCCCCCCCTGTCTTCCACGGACTCGGGGCTTCCAGTTAGAATTTTGGTTTCTGACTATTAAGTGTCCGACTATTAAGCTGGACTATCAGACATCTGGAGAAAGGTTCTCACGGATGGTGGCAGGGAGAGGAGGCAGGTTGGAACTGAGGAAATGAATGTGAGGCATGGAAAAGAAAACTTTTCCAAAACAAAACTATCATCATAGCCCCAGAGAGGGAAGAATCCGCGGCCATGCAACAAACCATTATAAAAGAAATCATCAGAAAAAGAAATAGGCAGAAAACATTGCTCCGTATATCCTTTTAATTTCATACCCCGAACATTTATCACTTAGTCTGATAAAGAAAATTATTAACAAAATATAAATTCCCCACCGCCAAAGCAAAACAACATTTTGGGAAACAGTATCTTTGGGGTAAGTAGAAGGCCTTCCAGAGTGACAACTGTGAAGGGGACACGTTTATTTCCATTTATGACAAGTTCTGGTGCATTTGTCTAAAATTGCCTTGTAACTTTATGGTCAGATTTCGAGCAGGTGAAATATCTATTTTAACTCAACAGTCAAAGCTTCTTGAGAAAAATAATACAGATAGTTCTTATCACTCACTGTTGAGCTGTATACTTAAAAAAATAATTTGACTGCTTTTCTTATGAGTTAATACGTGTTCACCGCAGAAAATTTAGACAATGAGCAGAAAAAATGTTTTAAGATCACCCATAATCCCCTTACTAAAAAAGAATTACTATTGACACCTGTTATGTAACCTTACAGTCTTTCACCTATGAATATGTATGAATGAACAATTTTAAAAACAAAAATGGTTTGGAAACACAATGGTCCAAAATCTTTGGGACACAGCAAAAGCAGTTCTAAGAGGGAAGTTTATAGCAATACAGGTCTACCTTAAGAAGCAAGAAAAATCTCAATCTAATCTTATCCCTAAAGGAACTAGAAAAAGAGGAACAAACAGAGCCCAAAGGAAGGAAATAATAAAGACCAGAGTGGAAATAAATGAAATACAAAGAAAAGAAAAGATCAATGAATCTAAGAGCTGGTTCTTTAGAAAGGATAAACAACATTGATAAACCTTCAGCCAGACTCATCAAGAAAAAAAGCAAGAGGACTTAGATAAATAAAATCAGGAATGAAAGAGGAGAAATAACAATGGATACCCCAGAAACACAAAGGATTACAAGAGAATACTATGAAAAATTATATGTCAACAATTGAACAACCTAGAAGAAATAGATAAATTCATAGAAACATACAATCATCCAAAACTGAATCTGGAAGAAACAGAAAATTTGAACAGACTGATTGCTAGTAATTAAATTTATTCAGTAATCAAAAAACTCCCAACAAACAAAAGTCCAGGACCAAATGGCTTCACAGGTGAATTCTACCAAACATGTAAAGAAGAATTAAAACCTATTCTTCTCAAAATTCTAAAAGACAGTAAAGGAAAAAAAACTTCCCAATTCTTACTGAGGCCAGCATTAACCAAAACCAGACAAGGACACTACAAAAAAAGAAACTACAGACCAGTATACCTGACAAACAAAGATGCAAAAATTCTCAAGAAATAGTAGCAAACAGAATTCAACAATACATTAAAAGCATCCATTCAGCACAATCAAGCGGGATTTATTCCAGTGATGCAAGGATGACTATTTGCAAATCAATCAATGTGATGCATCACATTAACAAACAGAAGGATAAAAGCCACATCATCTCAATAGATGCATTTGACATTTGACAAAATAAACATCCTTTCATGATAAAAACTAACAAAGTAGGCTTAGAGGGAACATATACCAACATAATAAAGGCCATATATGAAAAATCCACAGTTAACATCATATTTAATGATGGAAAAACTGGAAGCTTTTCCTCTAAGATCAGAAATAAGATGTAGATGTCCACTTCTACCACTTTTATTCAACATAGTACTAGAAGTCCCAGCCACAGCAATCAGACAAGCAAAAAAAATAGACGGATCCAAATTGGTAAGGAAGAAGTATAGCTATCACTATTTGCAGATGACATGATATTACACATAGAAAACCCTAAAGACTCCACCAAAAAGCTATTAGAACTAATAAATGAATTCTGTAAAGATGCAGAATATAAAATTAATATACAGAAATCTATTGCATTTCTCTATACTAATAACAAAGTAGCAGAAAGAGAAATTATGAAAACAATTCCACGTACAATTGAACCAAAAAGAATAAAATGCCTAGGAATAAATTTAACCAAAGAGGTAAAAGACCTATACTCTGTAAACTATAAGACAGTGATCAAAGAAATGAAGACAACACACACACACACACACACACACACACACACACACACACACACGGAAAGATATACCATGCTCATGGACTGAAAGAATCAATACTGTCAAAATGTCCATATTACCCAAAGCAATCTACAGATTCAATGCAATCCATATCAAAACACTAACACCACTTTTCACAGAACTAGAACAAAGAATCCTAAAATTTGTATGGAACCACAAAAGACCCAAATAGCCAAAGCAATCTTCAGAAAAAAGACCAAAGCTGGAAGTATCACAATCTCAGATTTCAAGATATACTACAAAACTGTATTAATCTAAACAGTATGGTAGTGGCACAAAAACAGACACATAGATAAACAGAACAGGACAGAAAACCCGGAAATAACCCCCCTTGTATATGGTCAATTAATTTGTGACTAAGGAGGCCAGTATATACAATGGGGGAAAAGACAGACTTTTCAATAAATAGTGCTGGGAAAACTGTATAACTACATGCAAAAGAATGAAACTGGGCTACTCTCTTACACCATACACACACAAAAAAATCGCAAAGTGGATTAAAGACCTAAATGTGAGAACTAAAACCATAAAACTCCTAACAGAAAACATAGGCAGTAATCTCTTGGACATCAACCTTAGCAACATATTTACAAGATGTCTCCTCAGGTAAGGGAAATAAAAGTAAAACTAAACTGTTGGGACTGCACCAAAATAAAAGGTTTTTGCACAGTGAAGGAAACCATCAATAAAACAAAAAAGCAACCAGTGAATGGGAGAAGATATTTGCAAATGATGTATAAGAGGTTAATATCCAAAATACATAACGAACTTACAGAACTCAACATCCTAAAAAAAAAAAAAAAAAAAAAAAAAAAAAAAACTAACTAAAAAATGAGCAGACACAGGGGTGCCTGGGTGGCTCAGTCGGTTGTGTCTGACTTTGGCTCAGGTCATAATCTCATGGCTCACAAGTTCGAGCCCTGCATCCAGCTCTGTGCTGACAGCTCAGAGCGTGGAGCCTGCTTCAGATTCTGTCTCCATCTCTCTTTCCCCCTCCCCTGCTCACACACTGTCTCTCTGTGTCTCTCTCAGATATAAATAAACACTAAAAAAATTTTTTTTAAATGAGCAGAGGATTTGGATAGACATTTTTCCAAAGAAGGCATACAGATGGTCAATGGACACATGAAATAATGTTCAACATCAGTAATCATCAGGGAAATGCAAATCAAAGAACAATGAGATATCACCTTGCACCCCAGCCAGAATGGCTAGTACCAAAAAGACAAGAAATCACAGGGGTACGTGGCTGGCTTAGTCAGTAGAGCACGCAACTCTTGATCTCAGGGTTGTGAGTTCAAGCCCCACACTGGGTGTAGAGATTACTTAAAATAAAAACAAAAAAACAAGGTAAGAAATAACAAGTACTGATGAGGATATGCAGAAAAGACAGCACTCGTGCCATTTGCCACGTAAATTGGTGCAGCCATTGTGGAAAACAATACGGAGATTCCTCAAAGAGTTAAAAACAGAAATACTATGTATCAGCCATATAATCAGCCACATCAATATCAGCCATAAAAAAGAATGACATCTTGCCATTTGTGACAACATGGGTGGATCTAGAAGGTATTATGCTAAGTGAAAGAAGTCAGACAAAAAAGACAAATAGAATATGACTTACCTAAAGTGGAATTTTAGTGGAATCTAAAAAAGAAAACAAAGTAACAAAAAACTGAAACAGACTCATAAACACAGAGAACAAACTGGTGGTTGCCAGAGGGATGGGGGGATGGCAGTGGGAGAACTAGGTGAAGGAGATTAAGAGACACAAACTTCCAGTCATAAAATAAATAAGACATGGGGCTGAACAGCATGGAACGGAGAATGCTGTCAATAATATTTAATAATGCCGTGCAGTGGCAGATGGTAACAACACTTGCAGTGAGCACTGAGTCACGTGTAGAATTGTCCAATCACTATGTTGCATTCCTGAAACTAATAAAACATAGTATGGCAGTGGTACTTCAGTAAAAAATATTTTTTAATAGAATTGCCCTGCCAAATGTGCATGTTTGAAATAACTATTTGCACTCAGAGTGTCTTCCAATGCAAAATGTGATTATATTTCCAAAATCCTGCTGGAGGATGCGCTCCGCTAAAACAAGGCAGTCAGACAGCAAAGGGGTACACATAAGATATGGTCTAAGGGGAGCCAACAGGGGGAAGGGGGAAGAGGATGCTTGAGGTTAGACTGAAGGCAGAACCCGGGGTGATTACTGTGCCCCAGGACTAGCGAGCAAGCTGTTCCAAACAGGACAGGTTGAACTTGTAACCAAGGACAAGCAAGGCTCCCTATTCACACCCACCCCTTCTCCTTTCTTCCTGAGGGAACAGGTGGGCTTCTAATGAAAGCCAATGGGCCCATTACTTCAGCATCCACAAGGATGAAGGGAATGACCAGGACTGAATGCTTAGATAATAAAGAAGTATCTTCCCAACAAGAGTGATTGCCCTAATTCTGGTATCTCTCTTTTAGCCAATATTATGGCAAGAACCTTCTGATTCCAATTGATGTCCATGTAAAGAAAACACAAATCTTCAATAAAAGCAATTATTTACCCATATATAAAGCAAAGAGTATCTCTGGATGTTCTATTTTAGTGGTTCCCTCTGTCTATACGGCAGAGCTCTGACTTAGCCCAGCACCAAGTTCCCTTGATCTGAAACTAACCCACCTTCCTAACTTGAGCTCTGTGTATTGCCGGACCTGGAATCTCTACTGCAGACAGATTAGTGCCATTGCAATCACTTAACATGTCTTGCGTCTTTCCTCCTTCTACACACCCGACCTTTAGATTCCCTGACTCCGCCTACTTCCTTGTACCTACTCATCAGGTTCCTATTCACATTCCGCCTCTTTCTCTAGGGATTCCCTAACCACGTGGTCCAATGCATTTCTCTTTCTCCTGAGCAAGGAAGCCTCTGTATCTCTCATGGAGCTGGAGGTACTCAGGAAACCTATGCTGATTGGCTTATGTTATGACCTCCTTCACAATTACCTACCCCTTCCCCCCACCACATTATATACAAAGTATTTCACAGGCTCTTAATTATTTCATTCCAAATACATTTATTAGTTGTTTCTCATGGGCTTGGTGCATGGTGATCCTAAGATATGGAAAACACTATCACTATTGTCCAGATTAAAATCTCTTGGGAGCTGAGAGACACCAGTAAGTGTAATAATAGAACTGGGTCTAGAGAAAAGGGAGACAGGAGTCAGCACTTCCATGGACAAGGCAGAAGGGGCAGGAAACAGAAATGCTGAGGCAATAACTATACACACAATAAATACCCCTATGTGGCAGCACTAAAAATACAGTCTCCCAGAGGGCACATGGGGTGTCAGACTGCGAGCTCCAGAGCATTCATAACCTCTAGCAAAAGGGATCCTGTAGCAACGCTACTTTATGAGTCATTCATTCCAAAAATACTGAGAACTTATTAAATGCCACACGCTGCTCCATTGTCCTAACTGGGGATACAACAGAGAGCAAAGTCAGCACGTGTGAGAATAAATAATTGTGAGAATTTATATAGTGATAAAGGCTGGGAAGAAAATAAAACAGGATAATGGGATAGAGTGATGGCGAAAAGCCTTTGACTTCTTTCCTTTATTCTGCCAGTGACATGTAAGATACCCCCCACCCAATCCAATAGGCCAAGATTGCTGTTAGTTAACAAATATCACAAAATAGTACCAAAGGAAGATACTATTAACCGACCAAGCTACTACCTCAAGTGGACACCCAGTCTTCCAGCCTTGAGCCAAAAAAAAAAAAAAAAAGATACTCAGAATGGAACTTTAGCAGACATTGCACCCAGCCTAGTTACTGCCACTCATGTGCAAGACATCTAACACTGCCAGTGTTTGCAGTCGCTTTATTTCGTCTTTGGATAACCTTCCAATTTCCCAGGTTAGAAAACTGATGCATTTGGAAGGGTGAGCATCTTTTGAGACACCCTACAATCAAGATTAGAATCAAGAGTGAAAGTTCCAGTCCCCAAGGGGGGTTTTCATTTAGTGGTTGGGCCTGGACGGGACATCACATTTCTCCCCTACCTCCCAAATTGTTTGCATTTCTCTCTTCTCCCATTAAATGCTAAGAAAGCCTACAACTAAACAGAATAGTTTGAGATCAACCTCAAATTGCTAATTTCAATTTCCAACAATCCTTCTTCCACATTACACTTTGCTCCCCAAACTCAGGTTTAGTTGAAACTAATCAGGGGATATTCCCTGAGGGTACGGGCCATTTCCTTGACTACTTTGATATCCCCTACAGTGTTTATCGTGAGGCTGGCACATGGTTCACCTTCAATCTTTCTTTAGTTGGGTTCTGTTGAGCTTTGTCTCACACTGTTTACTTGGGTTGTTTCATCTGTTACATAAATGCATCACTGTAGCTTGTGGAGGAGAGGGAGTGTGGAAGAGAGACTTAAGCAAGGGGTAACTTCTTTTGTAATTCATTCCTTCCCAGCCTTTCCAGAAGAAGCTACAGCGTGGAAATAACCTCATTATCTTTTCTCTTTTGTCTCTGGGACAGCGCTTTCAGGCTTGTCCTAGTTATTTTATTTTTTTTAACATTTATTTATTTTTGAGACAGAGAGAGACAGAGCATGAACGGGAGGCAGAGAGGGAGACACAGAATCGAGGCAGGCTCCAGGCTCTGGAGAGCCATCAGCCCAGAAAGCCTCGACGCTGGGGTCTCGAACTCACGGATCATGTAGACGGACCTGAGCCGAAGTCGGAGGCTCAACCGACTGAGCCACCCAGGCGCCCCTTGTCCTAGTTATTGAAGTCAGTAACTCTCTCCCACGGAGAGCTCTTTGCGGAAAGTGGTCTCTTCATGTTTATCCTGTATTCCACCATCTAGCTCACAGTAGACCACAGACCGCATATGTTTATTAAGTGAATTTCTTTTTTAAAAGGACTCAATACACCCTTGAAAACATATGTGGAGGGAATTCCCTCTGTGCCAAAGAAGAAATAAAAAAATTGGCATCAGGCTGCCAAGAACATCCAGAAAGATCTTAGTCCCAAGAGACTGCTATGGTCTCCAAGTCAGATGCCTACAACCGAGTTGGTCTTCTGACACTGCCTTTAGCAATCCCGTCAAAGCCACTGAACTCTACCGTCAAGCACTTTCTCCCATCTTTGTTCCAGCCTCCACCCCAAGCCTGAAGCAAGCAAGTTTGCTGGAATATGTTTCTGGCAGTGCTCGATACCCACCTAAGCAGAGGGCCAGTAACTTTAGTGGCAAAGAAATATGCCGGATGCCTTCTCTTTTTCCTCTCAGCCCTTTCTTTTTTTTGGGAAGGGGATCTAGTCAAACCTTCACCCTGCTTCGTAATCCCTACTGGCCTTCCACTACGGTTTTAGCTAGCCTTAAACATGGGCCTCTTTCAAACTCCCCAGCAGAGGTGTAAGCAAACAGGGAAGCACTTCTGCATCACTACCCTGAGTCGGTCACCCACCCCAGCATCAACCGGGCGGCCACAGGGCAGGGCGGCTTTCTGGCCACCGGAGAGGGAAGGGGGGGCCAGGAGACGGGACTCCTCCCTCCTCACACCTGCTGAGAAGGTCACCCAAGTGAAGGAACGGAGGCGGCGGGCGAGCGGGCGAGTCGTTCCCTGCAAGGATGGCTCATCTGCGGGGACTCCTGCCCATACCGCCCGCCCCGCTGAGCCCAGGTCAGGGATCTACACGGGAGGGGAGGCGGCCCCAGGGCCCTTCCAGCCTACCTTCCCCGACCCCCTGGGCCCCGGTCTCGCTTGAGGTGGCCTGTGCTGACCCCTCACACTGCCTCCAGGCCGCCCCCTCCCCCCGCGGCCTGGCCTGAGGATGCCGCCGCCGCGACCAACTTGGGGACCGGGGCCCCCGGAGGGCAGGACGCCCGGCGGGAGGGCGCGTGCGCCGAGAACCGGCTCCCCACGTCGCGGCGGTAGCGCCCTGATGCCCGGAGAGGCGAAGCGGGGACTAGCGCCGTGTCGGGCGAGCCGCTTTGTCGGCAGCCGCCTGGCCCGAGACGGCGGGGCATCACGGGAAGCGTAGTCCGGCCTAGTTCAGTGGCTCTCAAGCCGCTATTGGCTCCCGAAATGCTGGACCCTGATTGGACGCCGAGCAGCTCGCTCCCTGCCCTTCCCGCCGCGCTTGAGGGTTGAAAGGTGACATCCCCACCACGCTCTCCTTGCGTGTTAAAGGCAAATGATCTCCCACAGAGAATGCCTGTTCTTGGGTCTGTTCCCTCGCATTTTTAGGACCACTGTCAACCTTGAAGGTTTCAGACTTTATTTAATCAAGGAGGGCAAATATCAGATAATCATTGGCTGCCTACCATGTTGCCAGGCACCGTGCAAGGTTTGGGAATACACAGCTGAATGAAACAAAACCGTGCCTTCAAGGAGCTTACAGTCTATTGGGGAAACAGACCAGAAACGGATAACTACAAAATAAAGACACGAGTGCAAGGAGAGAGGTAAGCCCAGGACCCTATGAAAGCACACTTTGTCACCGTTTAGAGTACAGTGCTGGGAGAATATGGGGTGCTTAGGTCAAGGATTTCCTGAGGAAGTGGCACCTGGACTAAATTAAAGAGTAGGAGTCAGCCATGAGGTGCTATGGAAGGAATTGTGTAACCCCCGAATTTGTATGTAACCCCTATGTGACAATATTTTGATGTGGAGCCTTTGGGAGGTAATTAGGTTTAGATAAGATCATGAGGATGGGGCTCTCATGATGATATTAGTGTCCTTACAAGAAGAGACACCAGAGAGCTTGCTGTCTCTCTGCCAGATGAGGAAACAGTGAGAAGACAGCTATGTGTAAGCCAGGAAGAGAGTTCCCACCATCCTCTTGGCCATGATGGCGTCTTGGTCTTGAACTCCCATTCTCCGGAACAGTGAGAAAATAAATGTCTGCCGTTTAAGCCACCGGGCCTATGGCATTTTGTTATGGTATCCTGTGCCAAAATAGGAGGGGAACAAAGGTGTTGTTAAGAGGGAAGTGGCCATAAGAAATAGCATAAATTAAGCCAGGCAGGTGAGCAAATGGTAGGTGCAGCGTAAGACAGGAAGTTGTGGGAAAAGACATTGGAGAGATACTTGGGGGCTGGACATGGAGGGCATTGTATGCTACCTTAAGGAGTCTGAAATGAGATTTAAGCGGGTGAATGGTGTGGGCAAATTTGCACTTCAGTTGGATCAGGCATACTGCAGAGTAGAGGATGAATTTAAGGAGGAAAGAAAGAAGTCCAAGCTCTATAAAGATATACTTGCTTTCCTTTCTTTTCTCTCTCTGTTTTGTTTTTTGTTTTGTTTTGTTTTGTGAGAGAGAGAGAGTTCGAGGGCAAGTGTGAGCTGCCGCAGAGGGAGAAGGAGAGAGAGAATCTTGAACAGGCTCCACCCCCAGCTTGGAGCCCAAGGTGGGGCTGAGTCTCATGACCATGAGATCATGACCTGAGACGAAATCAAGAGTCAGACGCTTAACAGATTAAGCCACTCAGGTGCCCCTATTCTCTCATCTTCTTTAAAAGACATTCAGGGCATCTGGGTGGCTCAGGTTAAGCATCTGACTTTGGCTCAGGCCAAGATCTCACGGTCCGTGAGTTTGAGCCCCACGTCCGACTCTGTGCTGACCCCTCAGAGCCTGGAACCTGCTTCGGATTCTGTGTCTCCCTCGCTCTCTGCCCCTTCCCCGCTCACACTCTGTCTCTTTCTCTCAAAAATAAATAAACATTAAAAAAAAAAAAGACATGAAACAGAACATCAGCCGCCTCCATCTTGAGCTCATGTATACTTTCTGATTGGTTATGTTCTTCCCAGCTTTTGTCTTAACTCAGGCAAAGCATCCTGTGATGGGGACCAGAACTAGCCCCTCAAGCAGTAACAAGTGCCCCGAGCCAGCAAGACCCCACATGACTGACCTCAAGACAGCGATTGACCTTACCTTTGCTGCCCACCTGCATGTACCACCCCCCCCCAACTTTTGCCCACATTTTCCCTGTATAAACCCAGAGGTTTTGGAGATAGTCTTTGAAACACTAGTCCGCTGTCTTCCCAGCATTGGCCACACTGAAATACACTCCTTTCTTGTTTCACCACTGCTCATCTCTCTGTCTTTGGACTTTGTCAGCAGCGAGTGACCGAACCTGGTCTGTTTGGGACCCCTGGGGCCAGATACTTTTGCACCCCGGTGCCCTGGTCACAGACCTAAAATTATTTGAAGTCATTGTAACCATATATTATTTCGTTTGTAATATATATGGGTGTAATATATGTAATAAGAATAGGACAAATAATAAAGTGCAAAAATCTTAAGTGTATAACTTGATGTGTTTTTACCTGTGTGCCAGGTAGCCACCACTCAGATCAGAGACAGAAAATCTCCAGCACTCCAGAAAGCCCCCATGTGGCCCTCCCATTATGTATACATAGAAATAAAATGACAGAAAGTAAGGCAGTGATTATTATAAAAGTGTTGGTAAAATCAACTATAAAAATGTTTTCTGTACTTTTACATGTGGGTGTTTTAAGTCATAATTTGAAGTTTTGGGTTTTTAAAAAATTTTTTTAATGTTTATTCATTTTTTTGAGAGACACATAGTGTGAGCAGGGGAGGAGCAGAGAGAGGGGGAGACACAGAATCCGAAGCAGGCTCCAGGCTCAGCTGTCAGCACAGAACCTGAGGCAGGGCTTGAACTCGTGAACCGAGAGATCATGACCTGAGCCAAAGTTGGACGCTTAACCGGCCGCCCAGGCGCCTCTAAGTCATATTTCAAAGTTTTAAATAAAAAATAAAGCAGATATAGTTTATATTTAAAAATTTTTTAATGTTTTATTTTAGAGAGAGAGAGACAGAGTGTGAGCGGGGGAGGGGCAGAGAGAGAGGGAGACACAGAATCCAAAGCAGGCCCCAGGCTTTGAGCTGTCAGCACAGAGCCCAATGCGGGACTTGAACTCATAAACCATGAGATCACAATCTGAGCCGAAGTCACATGCCTAACCAACTGAGCCACCCAGGTGCCCCAGTTTATATTTAAAAATTTTATTAGTACATATTGCCATACTGACTGTTAAATATTTTGATTATCACCCCTGAGTAGGTCCCAAGTAACCATTTTCCATTATACGACTCTGCGCTCCTGGCCATGGTTCAATGCAGGGGCCAATAAGAATACCTTTTCTAGGGGGCGCCTGGGTGGCTCGGTCGGTTGAGCGTCCGACTTCGGCTCAGGTCATGATCTCACGGTCTGTGAGTTCGAGCCCCGCGTCAGGCTCTGTGCTGACAGCTCAGAGCCTGGAGCCTGTTTCGGATTCTGTGTCTCCCTCTCTCTCTGCCCCTCCCCTGCTCATGCTGTGTCTCTCTCTCTGTCTCAAAAATAAATAAACGTTAAAAAAAAATACCTTTTCTAGAAATGTGAGGGAGTTCAATCCATGTGAGTGGACCTATAATATTTGACCTCAGCTCAGGCTGCCATAACAACATAGAGAAATTTGCTTCCCCACAGTTCTGGAGACTGGAAGTCCCAGATCAGGGAGCTAGCATGGTTGGCTTCTGTCCCTGGCTTATAGGCGGCACCACCTTGCTATGTGCTTATATGACTTCTTCTCTGTGTGTAGTCAGGAGAGAGAGAATGAACTTTCTGGTGTCTTATCTTATAGGGACACTAATCCTATCAGCCTTAACCTTAGTTACCTCTGTATAGGTCCTATTTCCAAATATAGTCACATTGGGGTTTAGGGACTCAACCTAGGAGTTTGGGGGACCACAATTCAGTTCACAGCTTTGTGTGCTTTGAGCTGCCTCCCTTTGGCAGGTGCAGTCCCTGGTAGGAGGGGTCTGTGTTACTGAGGGAAGAAAGAAATAAGACAGAAGACTCCGGGTGGCCTTCCAATCTCCAGCTCCCAGCTCAGTTATAGCTGTACCTCTCTGTATATACCTTGGAGAGCTGTATTTCTGCCCTTGAGTTATCTCTGTCTCCTTATAACAAATTCTTGTTTAGGGGTTTAAAAGTTAGAGGTGAGGGGCACCTGGATGGCTCAGTCGGTTAAGCTTCTGACTCTTGGTTTGGGCTCAGGTCATGATCTCATGGTTCGTGAATTTGAGCCCCATGTCGGGTTCCAAGCTGCTGGTGCAGAGCCTGCTTGGAATTCTAGCTTCCTCTCTGCCCCTCCCCCACCTCGTGCTCTCTCTAAATAAATAATTTTTTTAAAAAAATGTTTAAAGTTGGAGGGGAGGTGGTTGAGAAAGGAAGGGTTGGTGATTGAAAACGTTTTCCCATAAAAAGGTACAGAAAGACGGGGCAGTATCTGGAAGGAAGTGTGGGATCCAAATGTAAGACACAAGATCATGTTTCTTTTGTTGGTGGAAAGGAAAATCATGGTTAAGCACAGGTGAGGCAAGGCAAGGAGGCAGGACCACAGGACCAAGGGCTCTTTCCAGGGGTAGGGACACTTCTAGATGACACCCCACGGGAAGAAGGAGAAGACGGAGTCCGTGTAGACTTGTTTGGTAGATTTGCTGAGAGAATCCCCATCTGACATTATCTCAATGAGACAAGGTCATCTCATGAAAATGAAGGGGGTGGGGAAGAAGAGAAGGCATGCATAGTCAGTGCAGAAAAGAAGAAATAGAGTTTATGGGGGAACAATGTGCAGGATGGGCAAATCGAATTAAAGCCCTGTTTGAGGTTTGTGATTACAAATTGAAGGCAAAAACAGACTATCTGCAAAATTCTGTCTGGAAGCAGAGACTTGGGCAGATATTTGAGTTGGAGGATTGCCAGGTATGGAGTATGAATGGCGATAGAAAAGCAAGGTGGGGGGCCTCAGTTGGTTAAACAGCCGGCTCTTAATCTCAGCTCCAGTCACGATCTCATGGTTTGTGGGATCGAGCCCCGCATCGGGCTCTGCACTGACAGCTCCGAGCCTGCTTGGGATCTCTCTCCCCCTCTCTCTCTGCCCCTCCCCTGCTCTCTCTCTCTCTCTCTCTCTCTCAAAATAAATCAATTTAAAAAGATAGTTTAAAAAAGAAAATCAAGGGATTTAATGGTACTTGCATTGGAGTGATTTATAATGACAGGTGGTTCTCAATTCCAGCTAGGTGCACATAGAATTACCCATGAGGCTTCCAAAGAATCTGATTTAAAGGGTTCAGGATGGGGCCCGAGCACTGGTAGGATCTCAAAAGCTCCCTGGGTGCTTCTAATGTGCAGTTGGTGCTGAGGATGACCATGCAGACCATGAATCCTGAGGGGGAGACAGGAGAGAGCTAATGAAAAGTGAGAACCCGGTGGGCTCAATGAATCTGAAATAAATGATAGCGGTGGGGTACCAGAGCTAGTAAACTGGAATGATAGGAAGTCACAATCCGTAAGTAAATATTTGGAAGTGTTTGAAAATATCTGAGTGGTGAAGGGAAAGGTCATTGGAGGTGAGGGGGTGAGAACTGAATGGATTATCCACACAGACACCGAGTGTCCGTGACAAGGAGTATGACCCATGAGCCGAACTCTTCTCTGGATGACAGGGAATGGCATCTGGAAGCAGGAGAGGGTGGTGTAGGCGGGCAGCGCCGACTACAACCAGTGACGCACAGGAAGAGGGCTCTTTGCGGGAGGAAAGAGGCAGAACCGGGCAGCAGAAACAGGGAACCAGAGAACTCCAGACTTTATATTCAACCTGCCGAAGTGCAAACCGAGGCCTGCCCGGTTCACCAGCATGGCAGATTAACAGAAGTCTCCTGGAGGCAGTCCTTGTGCAGGTCAAGGCCGGGGCTCAGACCCACCCTGCCTCCCTCTCTTTTCTGGTCCCCAGACGCAGACTGCACACAAGCTTGCTGCTGATGTCACTTTATTTGGGATATGCTGGTACCAGGGCATGGAGTGGATGGGTGGGCACGGGAGGAGGGGGTCGGTGCCTCTGGGCCCGGTGATCGCACGAGGGGTGGTGGCTGGGCAGCCTCATCCAGCGGGACCGTCAGTGCTTTGAGAAATCACCTCCTGGAGGACAGATAAGGGGGAGATGCACTGGCACAGAGGCAGTGGTCAGGACGGGAAGGGGTGCAGCCAGAGGGGGAGCAGTGGAGCAAACTGGCAGGAGAGAAGCCCCGCCAGGAAGAAGCCCAGAGAAAGGCGTGCTTTTGCCCTGCGCTCCACCCAGGCGCTGTGAGCGCCCCTGCACCTGTTTCTCACCTGCCACAATGTGGCCTCGGGGACCTATCAAGAACCAGGCACCTGGCAGGCGCTTCACACATGCGCTCCCACCAAGCCCCCCCACCGCCAAAAGCCTGTGCACAGTCAGCCAGGTCTCGAAGCTGAGGTCACGGATGCTCAGCAAGGAAGGAAACAGATGAGCTGGGAGGAAGCAGCTGTGACCGACTCCAAACACCCAAGCTTGCGCTGGATTGGAGACGAAGCCAACAAGCAAGCCAAGACGGAGAAGGAAGAGGGTCAGAAGGGGTCAAGAAGGATGAATCCCACGAGGGCCTGAGCTTCGGGAAACGGGGCGCCTTCCTGAAGGCCAGGCCCCGCCCCTGCAGGTGTCCAGCCTAGGTCCCCGTCCCTCCCAGCCCAGCCCCGCCCAGACCCACCCTGGCAGGCGCTGCACTGGCAGCTGCGGATGGCCGGCAGCACCACGGGCTCCGCGTGGTCGTCGGGACAGCGCAGGTGCAGGACCCGCACAGGGTTCTCGGGGTCCAGGCTGTAGCTGCAGCAGTCGCACTGGCTCTGCAGGTAAGGCTCCTGCGGGAGGGCGTGGCTGAGCTGGGGAGGGGCCACGAGAGTTTGCCCGAGCCACCTCCCTTCGCTCTCTTGGCCTTCCCATCTGGGGGTACGGCCAGGGCCCAACACTCCTGGCCAAGCAGGGCAGCGGGGTAGGGAAGGGATGTGTCGCCATCAAGCTCCCGTTTCCCCAAGAAGCCCACCTCCTTCACTGTAAGCCCCAGCCATCTGAGCGCGCACCTGCACGGTGAGAATGCTTTTAACTGCTCATCACTGCCTCCTGGCAGCAGGGGAGAGATACGGCCCTACCCCAAGGGGCTTGCTTACCATCCCCTTAGGCGGATCTAATACTTTCTGACGCTGCAAGGTGGGAAGCTCTAAACTGCACAATTGTGATCCTAAGTGCAAAGTGAGTTCTCACTCCAGACCCCTCCTGCTATTCGATTATATAGTAACTACGTGAGTGTCACCGAATATTTGATCTAACTTCTGTATAATTCCATTGTAATTTTACTTTTGAAATAGGCACTATATTCAACAGCACCGAGTTACAAAAGATTCAGTTAAAAAAAAAAAAACCCTCTGGGGATGAAGAGTACAGCATAGGGAGTATAGTTAATAACACAATACCACTGAATGGCCACTACACTTACTGTGGGGAGCGCTGTGTAATTTACAGAATTGTGGAATCGCTATGTGTGCGCCTGAAACTAACATTGCATGTCAATTGTACTTCAGTAAAAACAAATCTCCATCTGATTTCTATCCCTCTATCACTCACTTTTCCTCCCCAGGGGAGGAAAAAAATCTCTTAACCACTCTCCTATGTTTTAACAAATCCAAATATTGTTTGGGAATGGTCTGGGAATACCAGGAGGTACCGGGAGCACCCAGGGGAGCAGAGAGTGGCCAAGCGTTGAGGACTAGGTAGGAAAGCACCTCTGTCTTCCAGGAATAGATGACCCAGGTGGGTCGAGACAGGAGGGAATGGCCACACCATCGGTGAGCTGAGGCAGGGCCAGGACCCTCCCAGGCTAGAACTGGAGCCATAGCTCTCAAGGCTCAGGATGAGGGGAGTCAGGGTGGGCACAGAGCTCCTGACAAGGTCTGCACATGGAGCAGGGCTGGGCCTTCTGGGTCCAGGGAGAGCACGCGCAGGGCAGAGGTCTTCTGGGACGTGCTCGTAATATGCCTTGCCAGGAACGTCTGGGACAATGCTGTGTGTAAATGGTCTGTCCTAAAGAACTTGTCCTCACTGTATGATGGGCTGTGATTTCAGAGCCTAACGTAGGTCCTTTGTGCCTTTCTTGCTGATGTCCTGGGAAGCCCGCAGCACAGGGTGGAGGCCTGGAGTAGGCTTGGGGCCCCAGCCCCGCTGAGGGTGACAGGGCCAAGCAGCAGGTGCAGGCCACCGCCTTGGTGAAAACTCGCCCCTGGCTCTGAGATGTGCCCCTTTGAGATCAGCCGAGTCCCTCGTGTCCCCTGGGCATTGCCCAGGCCTAGGCTGGCCGCAGCAGTCCCTCAGGGGTGCAGGCTGACCTGACTCTCCTGGGCCTGCACGGCAGCCCCCTCGCTCACCTCAGGCATGACGCTGATGCTGGATGGGCAGTGCCCACTGCAGTAGCTCACTTCCACCTGGTCCAGGTAGCAGGCGCCCTTGGTGACGTTGCGCAGCTCCGTGAGATGCCGGCAGGAGGCTGCCTGCCCCTCTGTGGGAAGAAGGTGAGCACAGAAGGCGGGAGCAGGGCAGAGAGAAAGGGCCTCGATGAGGGGACTCTGTGTAAAGGGGACACTGTGGACCTGAGGGGCACCTGAGGCTGTTGGGGCAGCGGTGGCCAGGCGCCATGATGCAGCACTGGGCGTCACCACTCTGCTGATCCCTATGGTAGGCGGCACTGGGGACGGCAGGCCCCCTAGGGTGGGCACGGGAGCAGTTTGGGAGAAGGGCCCAGAGCAGGGAGAGGCATGGCAGGAAGTGCCCCAGGTCCCCGGCATACCCGGAGCCTCTCGGCGGCAAGTGGGACAGCAGCTCCCTGGTTCCTGCACGGTCACCTCGCCCTGCAGAGGGAGTGACCCCCAGTGCACTCAGGAGGATGACCCCAGGGCCCCAGCACTGCCTGCTCAAGGCCCTAAGACCAGCCCCTGGGGAGGGACCCAGGAAGGAGGGCAGCAGGGCTGCAGGCGGGTACCTGGGCACAGGTGAGGAGGGGGCAGTGCTGGGTGCAGACACTCCTCCCACGGAGGCAGCGGCAGCTCTCACAGGCCTCCTGCCATTCGGATCCAGGCTGGGGAGAGGGGGGAACCCTCCCGTCCATCTCTACCCATCTCTGCCAGTTAGACTTTTCTATACTACACCCTCCCCCACCCCCCGCCAATCCCTCATCCCTGAAACCAGTCAGGACAGGGGCCAGAGACCAAAGTCAGGGACAAGAGTCTCGGGAGGGAGGTGGGCTGATGGGGCCTGGAGATTGTCCCCGTGTGATGGGTGATGGCTGATGGCCGAGCTGTCTGCTGCTGCAGATCCTGGCACAGGGGGATGAGCCAGTGGAGGGGGGCGGGGGTGGGGGAGGGCTGGGTGGCCCGGAGGGGCTACAGTGTCTCACCGGGTGGGGACGCCCATGGTGCCAGCACTCGCAGTGGTCTATGGGCACGCAGGGGCCCGCCTGGCTGCGGAAGTGTCCGTGCTGGCACACACAGCCTGGGGCCTGCCCCACACCGCAGCTGCCCTGGGTCTCCGTGGCATTGGGCTCCCGGCACGTCCGCTCGCAGGGCCCTGGCTCCCCAGGGGCCACCTGCTGCCACATTTCCCCGGAGGGGCACTCTGCCAGGGAAGACCCCACCACCACCACCACCACTCAGGTCAGCCCCGGGTCCAGCTTCGATTCTCCCCCCTCCCACACCAGACACCCCTAGAGTCCCTCCTGCCTTCCCAGTGCTGTCCACTCGGCTGGCTCTGGGCCTCTAGGCCTCCAAACATGCCCGTCTGCTCTTATCCACCTTCCAAATACTACCGGGGCCTAACTCGAGTCTGGCCTTCTCCAGGAAGCCTCCCCTGACCAGTCCTGTCCACCCTGACCTCTCCATTCATGGCACTGATTTCCAGTCCTGTGGGTGCAGACTGCTGGTCAGTGAGCCAGAAACTGTCTCCTGTCCCTACCTGTTCCGGTGGGTGAGCTGGCCCTCAGCAGCCAGACTGGGGCTGCTCAGGACTCACCAGGCCTGTGTGCCTCTGAATCTACACAGAGCCCAGTGTGCCCGAGCTGGGCACCTGTGAGCCCTTAGCAAACGCCTGTTGACTTTGATCAGATGGGGGTAAAATAGCACAGGGCAGATTCCAGACAAGGGTCCTACTTTAGCTCACCCTTAGCCTTTGCTTCCTCATCTGCAGGGAAAGACCCTCCACTTCCTGCATCACTCACAGCCGTGTGCTCACAGGAATGCCCCCAACACCAGTGTGGACAGAGCAAGGAAGGGGCTTCTTGGGAGAGACAGCTTTGCCTAGGGCAGGCAGCGCCCTCTGTCCTCATCGGGGCCAACCCCACCCTGGCTTTGGAAGGACCAGCAGGGGCCTAGACAGCCACATCTCACCACGACAGTCAGCTGGGGAGCAGTTGAAGGCTCCATCTTGGCAGATACTGGGAAGACAGAAGCACGTGTTCGGACGCCTCCGGTGCCCTCCTCCCCACCCCCATTCTTAGCAATGCTGCCTTCCACCCCCTCCCTGCCCTAGCTCCCTCCTCCCCCTGTCCCCCCTGCCCGGGGCCCTCACCAGCGCGTGCAGTTCCAGGTGAGTACAGTTCCTGGGGGAAGCTCCCGGGCCTGTTCTTCAAGAGTCAAGGTAAGGCCCCAGGGCAGAGAGATCTGGGTGCAGGGGCACGCCGCAGGGGACACGCACGTGCCATTGTGCAGCAGCTGCGGCAGGAAGGCACGGGCTCAGTTCTACTCACACCACACTTCTCTGCCCCCCACCTGCCTGCCCCCCCATATGGCAGTCAGGGCACTGTCCGTACCTGCTCTCCGGGGCAGCCACAGCCAAGCTGGCAGGGTTCCTGTGCACAGAGGGCACCAGGCTGCAGATGCGAGCAGAGGTGTGGGCACGAAGCGGCACAGGCACTGGGCACCTGGCCAGGCGGGCACTCTGGGGGGAGCGCACAGACGGTGAGGTGGAGTACCAGGGAGGGGACCGCCTCGGGACCCGCCGCCCACGCTGCTGAACGCCGGCCGAGCTCAGCAGCACCAGAGGGCAGGGAGGCTCCCCCCTCACTCCCCCACCCCAGGTGCTCACCAGGGCAGGGCTGCGGGTTACATTCCTGCCGCTGCTCTGTGTCCTGGGCCTGGCATGGCGCCCCCATAGGACCCTCCTCACAGCTCCTACGTCGCCCCATGCTGCCCCCACCACAGGGAGCAGAGCAGCTGCTCCAGGCTGACCAAGGCCCAAGGACTGGGCACTCATGGTGTGGGCACACCAGGGACCCGTTGGTACAGGTGCTGCGGACAGGGGTCAAGGGCACAAGTCAAGGGGAACAGAGCCTTTGCTTCCCGCTAACGCCCTCCACCCTGACCTGTCCCAAGCCTCCCACCTAAAACTCCCCATCCCCTGCTTGGCCACCAGTGGGCAGCCATACCAGTTTTTGCAGTCCAGCTGTACCACCTCGTCTGGGACCACCACCCATGAGGCATTGGGGCTGGGGAGGCCACAGCGGCAGGAGGAGATGGGCACACAGCGCCCATCCTGCACCAGTTGGCCAGGGGGGCAGCGGCAGCCTGAGGGGGGTGGGGAGGACAAGCAAGGTTCAGGCACACATCATGGGTCCCTCTGGCAGCCAGATGGGGTCCGGAGCCTCAGGCTGACCCTGGAGCACCCTCCCCTACCCCAGCCCCCCGAGTCCCCACTTGACCCGGTCTCCACACTGTTTCCACTGCTGGAGCACAGGAAGGGGTCACTCCAGACCACCCTGTGTGGGTCCCACCCCAGGGACCCCTGAGGCTGCCAGAACGTCCTCACAGACAAAGCCCATGTTAGGTAAGGCTCGCTCTATGCAGGATCCCTACCCAGGTGCTGAAAGTGACCCAAGGATCCACTTTGCTGCCCTATAACCCCTGATCCTGTAACATGTCCCCGCCTGTAGGTCACATGCTCTCTGGAAGTAGGGATCAGCGAAGCAAGCTGCTCTGGTCTGAGGCCCTAGGGCTCCCAGGCTGGGCTGTGGGCGTGGCCCGGCCACCTGGACGGCATGGTCCCTGCAGACACTGCACGCGGTCCCAGAGATCCACACAGCTTCTAGGGCACTGGTTGGCACAGTCAAGGGTGGGCACGGTGTCCTGGGCTTCACAGCTCTCCCCTGAGGACCAGAAGGTAGGAGTCTGTGTTGGGGACTGACTTTTGGGCCCCCAAGACAGCACCCTGCCCTCTAGGGCATGCCTCCAGGAGCAGAGGCCACATCCTCATCAGGTGCTATCTCCCGTGTTACAGTCCTTGGCCCCACCCCCAAATGCCAGGATGGAGGTTACCTGGGCAGGGCTCCACGTTGCAGCTCTCAGTCTGAGCCCAAGGCCCCCAGCAGCCTCCTCCAGGGGGGCCCCCTGCCTCCCTCCAGCGTAGCCGGAAGCCCCCACTGCACGACACCTGGCAGGGGCTCCAGGGCCCCCAAGGACTCCACTGGCATAAGTCTGGGGAGGTAAAATGGAAGTTAGTGCCCAGGGCCCCGCCCTGGCTTCTTGCTCCCACCCCAAGGCCTTGGGCTCCAGCCCTACAGACACTCTGCTAAGCCCAGAGCACTCAAAGCCCCCTTCCTCCCCTTTCATCGGCTGCAGGGATCCTTCCTGCTGCGGCCCGCCCCCCCTCCAGTGCCAGATCGCCAAATACCCCCAAATCCTGCAGGCCCCGGGGGCAAGCAGGAGGCTTAGCAGGCCTGTTAAGCGCCTGGCTACTGAAATAAACAACATGGCCCAGGCCTACCTGGCCAGGTACCCCTCCCTCCACTCATCTCAGGCTCCCTCCTGCCCTGTTGGTCTCTGCCCCTCGGTATTACCATGGCAGGCCCTAGGGTCCAGGCAGAGGCGTTGCTGGCTGAGTGGTGCAATGCACAGGTCTGGGTCCCCATCCCATGGCCTCCCAGTCTCCGGGTCCAAACAGAGGCGATGGCGGTGCTGCTCCGAAGCCAGCAAGGGGGACAAGGTCGGGGAGAGGCCAGCTGGGTGCTGAGACCGGCGCTCCTCTAGGGCAGTCCTGGAGGCGGGGGCCAGCACACCAGGGGGCAGGCAAGGCCCACAGGGTGACCACTCGGACCACCCGCTCAGAGGCAGAAGACCTAGAAAGGGCAGCGAGTGGGCACCCTTCCCAGTGACCCTCCCTGAGACCACAAGCCCCAGTGGAGGTGGAGGGAAGAGACCCAGTTATGACCAGGAAGGGCTGGAAACAGAAAAGGCTGCAGGAGGTTGCTGGGAGGGTCAGGGGAGGGTGACCAAACATCCCGGTTTGTCTGGGACTGTCCTGGTCCCAGATCCAGGAAACCTTCCAATCCTGGGCAAATGGGGACAGTGGGTCTCTCCAGGGCAGCGTTACCTTGACAGCCCTGGCTGGTGCACTTCAGCTCCCCACGCCAGCATTCACTGTGGGAGGGGGTGGTCGGGGTAAGACTGGGGAGACCAGACTCAGCCCAGAGAGGTGGTTGGTGGGGCTCACATAGGGGTGGCCTGAGCTCTGGGCTCATTTGGAGCAGGATGAGATTGGGGTTGGGTCCAGGCCAGGACGATTTCCCTGTGGGGCCACCTGCCCCCCCATTCCCTGGCCCCAGCCCTCTGATGCTGCCTCCCCGCCCCCTTAACTCACCACTCTTTGCAGCCCAGCTGCAGGCGGTCCCCGGGAGCCAGAGTCACCCTGGCTCCTTCTCCTGTGATGTGTAGGCAGCTACACTGCTCTGGGGGAATGCAGCCCCCAGCCTGTTCCAGCAGCCCCTGCGCAGAAGCAGACACAGGGACAGAGCTGTGTGGCAGCCATCTCTGTCCCCGAGTGCCAGTAGTGTGAGTGCTCACAGCAGGGGCACGTGCATGTTGCCGAGCAAATGGATGGGCACACGGGCACGAGGCAGAAGGTGAGGGACCCTTAAGAGGCGTCGTGGGGAGGGGTGTCACCACAGGCATCGCAGAGAGAAGGAAGGTAGGAGTGTAGGCTGAGACCCGCTTCTCCTGGGGCATCTCCTCTGGCTCCGCCTCTCACCTCAGGGCAGTAGCAGCCAGGCTGGCAGGGTGGCAGGTCCTGGCAGAGCCGACGGCTCAGGTGCGTGGCACAGAGCCCGGCACAGGGGGAGCCACAGGCCTGGAACTCAAAGGGAGGTGTGCAACTGTCCTCTGGGGGGGAACAGAGGCCAGCAGGATGGTAGGGGGACAGCCCAGAGACACCCTCCACCTGCCCCCGCCCCAAGCCTGGAGCACACAGTGCATGGTCCCATCAAGGACCCTCGGGGCCTCCTCGTAAGAGTGTAAGCCTGGCCCCAGGCTGCTGGTAAGGACTGACCAGTGCTGCCCCGTCTAGCGCCCACTCGGCCCCTGTGGCTGTCTCTAGGGAAGGGTCGTGATGGTCGGGGCTTGGAGAGCCAGGTAGCTGCACGGAGGATAGGGCCTGCGGGGAGCGAGGGGCCTGGCAGGTGCTCCAGAGGTTGGCAGATGGGAGCCAGGGGGGCAGAGATGGAGAGGGTGGCCACAACGAGAGGTGGGCCAGACCTTCTGGGCCTGGGAGCAGCCGCAAGTGGACAAAGCCTGCAGCTACAAAGTGGGGAGATCGCAGTGGAGCGGGGAGGGGAGGGACGTGAGGCATGGGGGTCACGGAGCTGCTGAGAGCGGGAGTCAGTGCGGGCAAGGGCAGGGCTCAGCTCTCCGGCCTCTGGCTCCGGGGGCCTCACCAGAGCAGTTGCCGAGGGGGCAAGGCCGGAAGTGGCCGTCCAGTCGTGTGCAGGGGGGGCCCGCCCCCGTCCCC